ACTACCGCTTTTGTGGCCGCCTGGAACTGAGAACGGACGTACGGTCGGGATTTTTCGGTTGCTGACCCGTAACCGAAATAAAAACAGTCATTGATCGTCTACTTGGTCAACTTCGTTCGTTTTTATTAACATTATATCGTTCAAAATATCGGGATTCTGTTTAGATTCGTAATCGTTTATAATGAACTTTGCAACAGACACCTGAGTCCGATATGACAATCAAAAACTTAGCAATTTATAGCTGATATGAAACTGACTGACACATCCTGTTCAATACATTTTCCCAGAAAAATCGTGATCATAATTACGTGAGGATATCCTGTGTATGTTACCACGAACGTGGATGTTCGAACGATTCTCTGCTATTACAGCGATCGTTCACCTGCGCTTGTGACATCAGTGAATGTCGATTTAAATATTCGTCTATTTTTCATGCATTTCAATGCTAGTGATTGTAAATGTTACCGTAAAAGTAGAAGGTTAATGAGCGTACACTCTTACTAGGAAATGTTTACGATTACTAATTTGAATATTGAACGTGTGTACTTTAATGTTTTCGATTCACATTCGCCAGCGAAAGTGTACTTTCACTGCTCGCCTTCGGCAAATGCAGTTTAGGGTTTGAACATTCACGTGTATTTTCAGTAATTTGTCTCATAAACAGAACCTGATATATTAAATATATTAGAGAAGGGCTGACATACTGAAAACTTTTTCAAAGTTCGGGAAACGATCTCGAAACCTCGAGAATCGAAGACAAGTGTCTAAGCCACAGAGCCACGAAGAACTATACTTGTGATTATCGTAAAACTACATAGACTATAATTGTATTGCTATATTTTAGACTCGTAAGCCATTAAAACTTTTCTATGAACCCTTTAACGCAGTTCCAGAACTTTTCTAGATGCCCGAAAAATTCATAGGTTTTGTAAGATCCACAATATTTATCACGCGTGAAATTCTCTAAATTTGTTTATCAAAATTTTTTAATTTTGACTATTCTTCGGGTTAAAAAATAAAAATGGTATCTCGCGTTCTTGCCATTTCTTCTACGACGAATACACCTAAAAACGCGAGAGTTATTAAACAATAGGTTTAAAATGCGCCCTGAAATGAGCAGGCAGCGCGGTTTCGCGGTTGCAATTACAAGTCCGAATCCAAGTTATTTCCGCGAGGCGATCGACGGCATTTACATATAAATCGGCGACGTGCAAAGCGGCTTGTATCGGAGCGATCTCGCGCGGGGGCGCTTCCTGGATCGCGTTGACGAACGACCGGGGTCGAGCGCCGGCCACAATTTATTCAATGACTGCAACCGTGGTTTCCGATCGATCTCAAAACGAAAGGGCGTCCAGGCCGATTGCGTAACCAGTAAGCACGCGACGAACGTTCGCTCGATTAAGCTTCAACGTGTCACCGATAATTCGCTTCATAATTATGATATGAACCTAGAGAGAGAGAGAGCCATGATGACCTGTCACAGTCCCTTTATCTCGTTTCTAAATACAGTGACTCGCGAAACTGATCGCATCGTAATACAATCGACCCTCCACATACACGGTTTTATTTTTTGGCAACTTTTTCCGCAGCTACAAGCTACAACTTTTTACAACTGTTTGTACGACATAGATCCTTCGATACATGCATCGAAATTAAAACAAAACGTGGAAGAAGAACCATAGAAAAATATTTTGAAAGAAATCAAACTAAAATTATACTCTTCGCAAAATATAATAAATAATATGTAGAATGTACGTATGATTTTCCTGTAACCTTTCCATTGAGATGTTAAATCACAATTATTGATCATATCTAGTAATTACCACGTTTAATATGTTTTGTAGTTTTTGTATCAATGTAACGCTTTAAGGTATGTATCAAGCACCTTTCCAAACATTTATAATCAGAGATTACTGTTTTATTAAACGAAAAGTATAACAAAGGAACGTGATTAATTTCATGAGTCGCTGTATATGTACAGCGGTGTGTTTTCGAAAGATCGGAGGCAGAGGGAGAACAGTTGTATGCAAAATTCCTGCGCAACGTGGGTGTCGATACCGTGAAATTAAAATTCGGAATCTGTTGGCAACGTCTCGAGATCACGGTATATAAAATAACTCGACATTTTTCGGACGAGATTCGAGAAAGCTATGCGAGCAAAAATTCTTCTATCTCGGCTGTCTGAGCAACGCGAGTAAACTAGCCCCGGTAATCGAATTTCTAAGCGAGCCGAGAACCTCGTCGTAGCTGCTCCTGATTTCTCGTTAAAGAGACAGGCTAACTGCCCGGCTCTGTGTATTTTCTTTCAAGGAACCAGCCCACCTTGCAGAATATAGCATTTTTTTTCACACCTCGCCGGGCGATACATTGCGTTTTAACAGAGGCCGGCGTTCCACATACGTCGTCATGTACAAATTAAATTTCCACTATGGTTTTATCGCTTCGTGCAATAAAATCGATAAAAGTTGCTCATATGCTGAATGAAAATTGATTTTCTTAAAAAAGAAAACCGGGACAGGAAGTTTCTAACTCCGTGAATCAACAAATTTAGACGTAATTTACATCTAATAATATCTATATGTATTGTCGGTAGAAATATTAGATAGAATTTTTTTAAAATCTCTCACACATTTGTAGTGTCAAATAAAATATTTAAAACGGCAGTATAAATGGTGATCCATTCGACAATACCAGCAAAACGTTTGTAACAAAAGTTCGATAGTTTCGATGGGTACAAAATAATAAATGAGTATTTTTTTATAGATTGATATGTACAGATATACGTAGAAAAGGTCAATTTGAATATATTAGTCGATGCAGTCAATAATTTCTTATGAAAAAGTATTTGAAATAAAATCTCATTAATTTAGGAGATATTTTAATTTCAATATAACTATACAGCAATAGCCTGAGCTATCGAGATTACTCTATTTATACTGCTATCTCTTTTATCTCTTCGTGCTCTACTCTCTCTAAAAAAAAATTTAAAAAATTTATTTTTTGATATTTAACATCATATGATTTTATGGATGTTTGTAAACAAACGTTGTTATGAACTCTATTTCCAATCGATTAGCACGGTCTTATCTCACAATGTGTTACGAACGTATTTGCTTCATAATTTGCGTCTACGATTATTAAACTGGCAGATTACGCTCGAAATAAAATCGTTGATTTAGGTCAGTGGTTCTTAACCTGGGGTCAAGAATCAATTTATCTTTATCTTCTGGACGCTTTGAAAATTAATTTTCTAATTCAATGTACCGTATTCTTTTCGGAATCACTTTTCCATAAAACTGGAGGATATGTTTTAGTTTTGATAGTAAACATTATTTTCGTCATTTTTAAATTCACCTACAGTCGTTAAGCGTTTTCGTGAAATTCCTTCGATGCAACTACCCCTGTGCCGATAATGCTAGTCGTTTTCTAATTTTGGCTCCTACGTAAGTGTCGCGACGTTAATCGTTCAATTGTGCAACGCGACGCGTCACGTCGCGGCGCAAAAATCGGAGAGACGCTCGAGATGACCCGCGACACTTCGCGTTTTTGAACGACCCGTCGTCGATAATATCGACATCGAAATGGGTCATGGCGAATTCAACGATGTCAGATGTTTTACGCGCGCGGACAAAAACGCGACGAGCAGACGATAGGAAACCACGAGTAGTTTACTAACAACGAAAAGGTTATAAGTTCGCGATGGTGCTCGACAATTCATCCAATTAGGAAATTTTTGTCCCGTTTCCGCGTGGCGTGCCCGTCCCACTTTTTGCTCCCGAGAACTCCGTTTCTCTCGAGAGGGTGCATTAAAACAGTTTTCGAGAAACGTTCGCTCGAGAGGAAAAAAAAAACCGACCGGCAAAGAAAATTTAAACTGTACGGTCTTTGCCCCACCCCCAACCCCCCCTCCGGGCGTTTCGTCGCGTGTTTTCCGACAGTTGCGTGTATTAACAAAAAACGGAACGAAAGTTTTGCAAAGTGTTCAGCGGCGACTGTCTTCAACCGGAGAAAAAGACGAGGAGAAACCGCTCGCTCGCGAGCATTTGACTCGCGAGCAATTTTCAGCTACCGTTGTCTGGCAAGTTTCCCCGCGGCAAACTGCGTTCCGTCTTTTTAAATTACTCTCCCGGATACAGGTAGCCACGACCAACAAAACTATGGCGAATACGAGCGCCTGTAAAGAGACGTCTGCCACCCCTCGACTGCCTACCGTTAATTTGCCATTACGTAATTGCTGTCGTCGGTCCAAATTTTATCCTCGACGCGGTCCTCGACAGTTTTTGATTCAACGTTTCTAATTGCTACGCCTCAAATATTTTTCCAGCGTTACTAAAAGCGTGCCAGTCGTTCCATTCGCGAAAACGCCCCGGTTGTACATGCTCGTAATACGTTGTAATAGAACGGACAAGACTGTCTGGTAAGCCCTTTGTTGCCTTTTTAATGAAACAAATCTTTTACGTATTCTGTGTGTTTGATAACGTTCAAGCCCGAAAAGACCTCTTTAACAAATTTATTTCTGCAACTATATTACGTTTGTGGTTATGAAGCTGAACTCGATGAAAAATTAGAGGCAAATTTAATTATAATTATAAAGGTTCAAGAACGTTTCGTTGAATTCGCCCCCGTAGAAAGCGTTTAAAATGTTTTCTCTAAACCGCGTTCTTGATAATAAAGTGTAACACACGTTACCTGAATTGCAGGTATAAAATTAAAAAATGGCGGAATGGAATATTAAACGTCAACTAAATTCTTTATATTGATTTCTAATATTGTTAAATTATAAAAGAGTATAGAAGGCATAAAATATATTTTTTTTAATGATTTAAAAAAAAACCTTAAGTGCGTGAATCACTTCTGGACGTATCTTATTAAACTCTAAAATCCAAGTTTATTAGAAAGACTCTATTTAGAAATTTCGAAAAGAAAACAAGCTTACAATCAAATGTATTTATAGTTGATAAGAGTGTGTAAAAGCAATTAAAGACATAACGGAGTCTCACCTGAGGTAGACAGCGATGACCATGGGCGGCCTGTCCATTCTCAGGTCGGTGGGGTTGGACGGATGCAGAAACACCGGCACGTGGAGCTTGGACCTCGGATAGAGCGGTCCGTGCGGTACCAGCAGCGTCAAAGAATCGTCGGCCTTGAGCTCCTTGTAGTCGGCTCGGTTCGGAGCAAGGGGCACCTGTCCGAGCGGTGTGACTGGCTGAATCTGAACTCTCGGCCTGCAGAAGCCGGCCCCGCTGTCCGTGGAACCGGCGTCCTCCGTCCGTGGCTCGAGAACGGAGTAGGCGACTTGCACGAGCCTTGGCAGGCTCTTGGCGACCTTGACCCGACCGGAAGCGTCCGGCGGAGGTAACGGTGCCCACCAATCGGCCGGTATGGTGATCTGAGCGAGACAGACTCCGTTTTCTCCGTCGGGACTGCAGGCCGCCGTCAGGACGGAGGACGAGGACGAGTAGATTGAGGAGGAGGAGGAGGAGGAGGAGGAGGAGGAAGAAGACGAAGATGAGGATGAGGAGGAGGACGAGGAGGAGGAGGTTTTCCCGTTGTTTCTGCTCGCTGTGCTTCTGGACGGGGCTGCTAGACTCGCATGCAGGACCACGCACACCCTTTGATGCCTCGCCAACAGCAACTGACGTCTACCGCCAGCTTCACTTCCGGCGTGGAAGAGCACTCTGAGCACCGGAGAGTCGCGCGGCACGCTGTTCCCAACCAGATGAGCGGACATGTCCAAGTGACGCGCCCCAAGCTCCTGCGCGTCCAGGATCGTCGCCGCTGTCAGATTTCGTCGCGTTTCCGGTCCCGGAAGCGCGTCCAGCGGGTCGGGGACTATATAGCGAGCCGGGACGGTCTGCTTCGTGCTAAATGGACCGTACGTCGCGCGAACGGAGACCGGCTCGCTCGTCTGAAACACCGTGAATTTGTCTATCGAGAGGACGGACCCTGGCGGCGGCGACGGCGCCCCGCTGCTCGTCGACGTCCCCGTCGACGGTGATATCGCCGGGACGGCGTCCCCTCGTACTGGATAGAACTGCCTCGGCGTGTGCTTCAGAAAGAATCCGCCATCTTTGTTCTCGAAGTGAACCTCCACCGATGCCGCCACGTCTGTAACGAAACCATCACTTCGGATCAGCGATAACACCATTATTATGCAACTATCATACAATACAGAATAACACCATTATGTACGCAAAGTGAAATAAGAAATAAACAGGATAAACTAATGGTTAATACGTTGTCGCAGTCATTTTGAACGAAACCATTCCCAAGCTAGACAAGTCGATTTGATAACTATTTTATTTTTCTAAAAATTAATATTCAGATCCCTGATGCATACTGATTTTCATTTTCCTTCCAAACGCTCATTATTTAGTAATAAACGACGTTTGACGATGGATTAATAACAAGAGTTATTTCGTAATTGGTAGTCTACAAGTTGAAAATGTTAAAATGTTAATGCTATTTTCGTTTCTTGGTTTTGTGTATAATTATTAATATAAATATACACCGAATTAAATAATACGCAACAACGGTAGAAAATAAACTCCAATACCTTACCAGCGTGTCATGAACCAACAACCAATCTAGATTTCCTTAGGGTATGAATCTTAAACAAATATTGCGGTTTGTCGACGAACACACTAGGGAACGATTATTGACATACTAAAAAATTAATGGTTCTGCGTCTAAGGAAGAGGTAAGAGAAGGCTGCAGTCCTCGACATCATTATTTCAAATACCACTATTTTATAACAACGATTTTAAAAATGAATTCTTTTTGACCTTTTCAAAGAAATCTATAGTTTGATTAATTTTAAGAAAATCGTTTATAGATAAATATTTCTTTGATATTAATATTAAGAAATTCAAATCAATGATTTATTTTTCAAGAGGCTAAATATTTATTTTAAAAGATATCGGTGGATCGCCGTTTTGAAAGTAACGTTCGATAAATTTTCAATATAAAAATTCATAAGAGCCATAAATTGCATCCTTCTTTTTCTTATTTCGAGTTAATAGAAGCGATTGGATTAATTGGTATGAGCTACCGGTCAGACGGTAGCATCGTGTTGGCGATCGCTATTGGTTTACTTTGCATAGTATGAATCTAGCAGCGGGAGATCACAAATAAAACACGGAGTAGGGGAATTTTAATTATCCGTTTCTTTCCGAAAGACTGAAATTAATTTTCAGAGGATGTACGCGTGTTTTCCTTAGCGCTGTAATAAATCCGTTGGCGTCGCGGAAGAACGTTTCCATTACACCCGAGTAATTTACAGAATTTATATCCGCATTAAATTAACATAGAAATGAACACGGGTGAAGCACGGCATCGCGTGCGCCTTGCAAAGAGCCAAACTTTGCAACATCGTTCGTCTCTATACTAAACAACTAGAGAGAATGTCTCTGGATGGAATTTAAATTTAGCGATCTGAATTTTTCCTAATAAAGTCCTTGGTGCTATATACGACGATTTACGAGTGCTTTTAGAACGTATACATGCTCGGTATGTTATATTTTTCTAATTTGGTCTCTCTAGGTAGGATATAAAGGAAGATATTAAAAAAACCACCCTTTCTGGTTTCACCTGAAAAGAAAAAATGTACAGAGTACCTTTAAGAATGCTTTTCGAGGACGATGGAAAAACTGTTAGAAACGAATCCATCTTCTTCTTCATCTCCAGTTGTCGAACCATTTAAATATTTAAAATAAGTAATGGAAAAACCAGTAAATCGAAAATCGAAATCGAGAAGAAGAATAACTTCTCGTCTGTTAAAATATTTTGAACGTAATTTCATTTTCAATACGATGTGGAAAATTGTTGTAATCCGTGGTTTGTCTTGTCTTGTTAAAAATTCTAACTCTTAAAAGATGGATATTTGTGGTGGAAGACGGGACGCAAGGAAGCAATTGTGCCCCACCGAGCGCACCACTGACTCAGGGGGGCATTCTTTATAGCGCCGTGCAGTATATGTATACTTTCCAAGGTACACACTGGTCGACTTATTACACGAGGGAGCTTCGATTCGCTCCACTCCGGTCGAGTGCACATCTCGATAAAAATTCCCTACATACAAGTTCGAGTGAAAAGTCGTGTAGAAATATCAATGGTATCCTCCCCGTATTGCGTTATTTTCCACGCGGTATCGACACCCTTTCTTCCGCCGTATTCCTGATAAATCGTGGAATTCGTTTCGCCGGTTGATCGCGCGTCGCGGGATCGTTTTCGCGATAAGGCACAGTTCGGAAAATTCTCCCCCGTCTGAACAAAGTTCGCGTACTTATGCGCGTTCGAAAGTCCGCACAGGTGAACGGAGAAGTTGTAAATCGCGGCGTGGCAAGGCGTGGCGTGGCACGGCGCGACTGCGCTCGATTCGGACATAAATTTCCGGGGAAATCCCCCGTTAAGCGCCAGCTGCCTGCACACCCTCTTCCGCAAAACGTAGGAGAACACGCGGAAAGGTGAGACCGATTCGGCCTCGGACGCTTATCTTTCGGCGCTACCAGCTCGACGGTCCCCGTGTCTCGTCCGAGCAATCTTTTTACCGTCTCGCGGGCCAAAAAGATTTCGTTTAACCCTCCCCCTATGACTTTCGAGTCACATAACCACGCAGGAAGCCTCCGAACGCGTATAACCATGAATGGATTCTTTGTGTAAAAATAAAGAAAAAATATAGAATGAAATTTTTTCCGGCGTAGCTTAGTTCTCGAGAAAACTTGGTACACTCGCTTGCTGTTTTTTATTTTGACCAAAAAACAGTTTTAGGAGTGTTTTCGTCAATTCGAAGGAATTCTGTTTTTTTTATATCTTTGTTAACCCTTTGCACTCCCATGTCGAGTGTGATTCGACATCAATTTTTATCTCAGGAGCACCTTCGTCAAGTCCCACTCGACATTTTTTCAAGCCCAAACCAAAGAGATATCGTACACTTGAAAATTACAAAATACTACAACAACAGTGTAAATAAAACAGATATTTTAACAGGTAAATTTCAAATAAAACACTTAAAGGCGTTGGGTGCTGCTGGTAACAAAATTGAAATATAATTCGGAGTGCAAAGGGTTAATGTTTCCTCAAAAATAATTGTAGGTTTGAGATCGTTCTGTCTAATTATTATTAAACATATACTTTATCGAAATTAAGTGTACGATGGCGATTTGTTGAAAAGAAAGCTTCGTACAGTCTGTTTACCAAAAAGTGCGTTCGATCGTTCTCGTTTCATGGCAACAAGATGTTTACTGTTTTGAATTTATTCAGCGTTCAAATACAATATGCTTCGCGAGCTCGCAAATCGAAGATGCTCCTTCTATCGAGAACCGGAGGTCGTCGTTATCGAAGTTGGTATCGCAGCTTCACTTATACGGGGGCACGTCGAACCATTGGTGCCTCTTCGGTTGGCTCTCGTCCAGCTCGTACTCCAAACATCGTCTAGGATAGCTGTCAGGGATCGTTAGAAGGTCCTCTTTAAAGTGGTTCAGACTCGAACGCTTTCGAAATGGTCGAATAATCCGGGCAAATCCGTACGATCGATAAACACCTACTCTCGCCATAAGGTCTGTTGCAAGCATACTTTGGGCCATTGTAATGGGTTGGTGCATACGTTGGAAGCTGATTTTTTTTACAAACTACAAGCCAATGTGTTTTTATTTTCGCGAGTCATTGCAAAGCTGAGCTTTCACGCGTTCTTTGGCGAACTTAGAAAAAATTACAAAAAACCAAAATTACAATACGACATTCTTCGTGTATGGCACAAACGACCCAACAGCCTTAGGTACTTCGAAGACGTTCATTTCTATTTCTCTTTATAAAAACTAAATACTTGTAATGAAACTTATGGCAAAACTAGACGCATTCGTAATTATGCTGGATATAGCGTTGTTCAACTCACATCGACGCGCGTTTGCAACCAACGATTGGGTAATCCTCGCGAAAGCATTTAGTGTCTAAGACGTTGAAGTAGAAATATCCTACGCTGTTGCTGGCGCCGTCCTCGGATTGACGGAGACAGTCGATGAACTTCTCGTCGCAGGAACATTGCAACCTGTTAAACAGATTCTCGATTCGTCTCCACCATCAATCTCCTGTCGCTTTCCCCTGTCACGCTAGTCGGTGTGTGTTCTGTTCTCGTCACCTCCCACACATCGTTCGCGGTCGAGGTTCCCATTAGAATCGTTTACAAAATTAATCTTTTTATTATATCCTCTTAACAGGTTGAAAATATTAAATTGTACCTTCCTAGGGACATCACTCAAGTGTCATACTCCGATTTTGATGGAACTTGGTATACCAATAGGGTATTTAAAAATATTCGACACATAACTTTTTTCAGCTCGTCACCTCCCACACATCGTTCGCGGTTGAAGTTCTCATTAGAATCGTTTACAGAATTAATCTTTTTGTTATATCCTCTTAATAGGTTAAAAATATTAAATTGTACTTTGCTAGGGACATCACTCAAGTGTGATATTTCGATTTTAATGGAACTTGGTATACTAATAGGGTATTTAAACTATAAATTAGACAGAATTTAAAATAAACGACATTAGATAAAAATAAATTAAGCATATTTTTTTCAGCTACCGATATGCACACTGAAGGGGTGTTTTCCACTCCCAAACACAATTCCTTAAGTATCACGAAAACTAACGAAGATAGACAGAAATGTTGAACGTAAGAACTGTATGATTTTTCATGGATAACAAGATGGCGTAAATGAAAATATTGCAAAGTCATAGGTAAAAAGTAGCAAGTATTTAGAGAGTTATTTAGTAAACATCAAAGTTAATTTAAAGAAAAAAACGATCGCTAGATCTCGATCGATAAACGGCCATATCAGTAACAAAAGGAAAGAAATGTACAAAAATATAGAAAAAAATTTGTTGATTTTTGGCTACGATTTTCGAGAAATTTGCCACTGTGCGACGGCCTCTGATCTTGACTCGGCGTTCGATATTCGTCGCGCGTGATTCATGCGAGGCAGCAGCCGTCCCGACACGCCTACAACTCGCGCGCACGTTACGCCTAATCGCCGAGCAATTTCTCACCGAACGCTGGACATTCGGTCGGCAAAAATTCCGCGTGGGCGTGCACGCGAACTCGGCATT